CTTGTTCAATGGGATGTGTTGACAGATGACAGATGGTTGAAGATTGATGTACAAACAAATTGCTAATAAACACAATCGAGCTGAAATGAGCTGATTATTAAAGCAGTTCGCTGCTTTCTCTCAGTAATTAGATCAGGGAGGCACAGTTCAGTTTAATTAAGTAAATACTGCTGGTTGATAAACATTCAACACTCCACTCTCTCTCTTTCTAACAGTTTGCAGATGCTGCTGATAGAAAAACTGGATTTATGTGGGTTAAATGGAGAGGATACAGAGCTCTGCTGGTACAAGTCTGGCGAGATAAAATATCTTGTCCTTGTAAAAATATGGAAAATATATTGAACAGATTCTATTCCTGTTCACTCCCACTCTACACGATCCCAATACATCAAAACCCTTCCTCTTCACTCCCACTCTACACAATCCTAATGGGCTCAAACCCCTTCCCATTCACTGTAATTACACAAAATCCCAAAGGATGAAGCTCCTTCTCATTCCCTCTCAATGGACACAATCCCAATGGATTAAACCCTTTCCCCTTCGCTGCCACTGGACCAAAATCCCAATGGACCTAAATCCCTTCCGATTCTCTCTGTTTGGACAAAGTCACAGCGGATCAAACTACATCCCAATGTTAAATTTCACAGCTACACCTGAAATCAGGACGGGTAATGAAGAAGATGTGATCTCCATCCCTCCTTTGAAAGGTATCTGAAGACTGGGAAGGCTAGATAGATGTGAAGTGGTTAACAGGACAATGACAGGGCTCTGTTGTGTGAACCCGGAGAATTCTGCTATGGGCCTGAACACTCGAGATCACATCAAAGCTTTAGCTCCTGAGTGTTCTCCAGCGTATTGCTGCAATATGAGAGGCATTTTAGTTTATCGATTGACAGACACATCAAATCTATTCTCCATGATAACACACGACGCCATTGCTCCCTCTTGCAGCAACGTACAAATCAGAATCACTTGGTTTTTAGATCATGACAGCCAGTGATTTTAGACCCAGAGCACCGACAGCAACTTGAAACGTAGTTCAACTTTGAACATCAGACACACGTACAAGTACATGTCAGGAGGGACCCCCATCTAACACTCCCAGGACAGGGACAGCACAGGCTTAGATACAGAGTAAAGCTCCCTCTACACTGTCCCCCCATCAAACACTCCCAGGACAGGGACAGCACGGGGTTAGATACAGAGTAAAGCTCCCTCTACACTGTCCCCCCATCAAACACTCCCAGGACAGGGACAGCACAGGGTTAGCTACAGAGTAAAGCTCCCTCTACACCGTCCCCCCATCAAACACTCCCAGCACAGGGACAGCACAGGGTTAGATACAGAGTAAAGCTCTCTCTACACTGTCCCCATCAAACACTCCCAGGACAGGGAAGCACGGGGTTAGATACAGAGTAAAGCTCCCTCTACAGTGTCCCCATCAAACACTCTCAGGACAGGGACAACACAGGGTTAAATCCAGAGTAAAGCTCCCTCTGCACTGTCCCCCCATCAAACACTCCCAGGACAGGGACAGCACGGGGTTAGATACAGAGTAAAGCTCCCTCTACAGTGTCCCCCATCAAACACTCCCAGGACAGGGACAGCACGGGGTTAGATACAGAGTAAAGCTCCCTCTACAGTGTCCCCCATCAAACACTCCCAGGACAGGGACAGCACGGGGTTAGATACAGAGTAAAGCTCCCTCTACAGTGTCCCCATCAAACACTCAGGACAGGGACAGCTGGTTTTCCTGATGGTCCTGATGGTTTTCTACTCTCTGCATTTCCTCTGTTGCAATCTCTGTGTCGTTCATTTATTCCCTTCACCGGTCTGACTCACACGTGACTCCAGACCCAAATATCAATTTAAACTGCACCCCCCCCACCCCGGGCAAATCGGGGGGGCAGACGACAAATGCTGACCCATCTAGGAATGCTCACAATGCCATGGAAGAAGCAGACATCAATGTGATGCTTTCTGTCAGTTTGTTATCAACCCATTGTTCCTTTCACTGACCCTCCCCCCTTTTATGATGAGCCAAGGTGGGGGTCAGCCTTGCTAGTGCTCTCTAACGCCAGGTCACAACTACTGGGATCGCAGGACTATTTCTGTAACTGTTGGCTGGACAATGAGTGGCCATGATTCACCTCAGCAGTTTAGTCTTCAGCTCAGGAATGCCAAGAATGTGTTTGAAGATAGACCAGGAAAGCTAGCGAGGAGGAACCGGTCAGTACTCATTCAGGCAATGATTACCAGATTGTTCTGCAAATCATTAAAGATACCGTAGCAGGGCCACTGCTTCTGAGCTGCTCTGAGAATGGGACACACCCAGCTGACTCTCTCCTTACTCCCCTGTCGGAATTAGACCCTCTCTTCGACGGTGCCAGACCCTGCCACGATAGAACAACGAACCCTTCACCCAGTGGTAGCAAGATGTAGGATCAGAATCAGACCATTCAGCCCATCGAGGCTGCTTGGCCGTTGTCTGGGATCAAGCCTGATCTGCTTGTCCTCAACTCCCTGTTCCTGCCTTTACCCCTCAAAACTTAACTCCTCCTGACTGATTAAAAATCACTATCAGCGCTCAATGTACTTCATGACCCCACCCTAACAGACTTATGTGGTGAAGAATTCCAAACATTCTTCTCTGGGAGAACAAGTTCCTTCTAATCTCTGACTTTAATAGGTGATAGTTACACTGAAGTGAACTCTTGTTCTAAACTTTTCCCAACTTCTCCACATCTACCCTATCGAGCACCCCGAGGAATGCTGAATATTTCAATATGGTTACCTCTCGTTCATTCAAATTCCGATCAGTACAGGTCCCGCCTACCCAGCATATCCTCCTAATCGTGTCACTCCATCCCCTGGATCAACCGACTGAGCATTCACAGGACTGGCTAAAATGTCACACTCTCCTTTCCTCGATAGGGGTTCCAAAATCTTCACAGCATTTCAGATGGGCCATGACTAATGTCTTTAATGGTTTCAGTAAAAGTGTCCCAGCGAGGGGTGTGTGGTATATCAGTGTGTTACAGTGAGGGGTGTGGAGTATATCAGTGTGTTACAGTAAGGGGTGTGGAATATATCAGTGTGTTACAGTGAGGGGTGTGTGGTATATCAGTGTGTTACAGTGAGGGGTGTGGGGTATATCAGTGTGTTACAGTAAAGGGTGTGTGGTATATCAGTGTGTTACAGTAAGGGGTGTGGAATATAT